TTGATGTAGGCTGGACATGCAGAGGGCCCAGCCCCTGGACGGGGATGGGACTAGGGGTGGGCACACAGCCCCGCAGGGACACTGAAGGAGAGAAGGTCCCGCTCTTCTCTGAGTTTGAAGGGGAGCCTGGTGCTGTCAGTGGCCTCTCCGCTGCCATGCAGCAGGAGGCCGCTAGAGAATGAAACCAAGTCAGCAGAAGCCAGAGTCAGGACATGGAGAGAGACCAAGGTCTGGTGACATTACGTGAACCCCTGGATCTATCCAGGCCTAAAGTTAGATCCACTCTTTGATCTACTGTGTGAACTAATAAAATCTCTGTATTTCCCTGGGAGCGAGTTCACACGCAACTGAAAGAGACAGTCCAAAAGGAGAGGTCAGGAGTACCTGCTGGAGCAAAGACAGACACGGCAGCGGAGGACGCCAGGTTCTCAGGGGGAATAGGCAGCTGGGATGGTGGCTGCAGATGGACAAAGGACCTGTGGCAGAGAGTTCCAAATGACTCAGTATTCACTTTTGCTTTCTTTCTCAGGTTTTTATCCGAGCACATGGCCCTTCCAGGTAGGTGCCACCACGTGGCTATGTTCGGCCAAAAGGACACGAGTGGAAGTGTTGCGGGGACTTTTTGTGTCCCGTTGCATGGGTATAGCTGGTGGTGAGGCCCGCGGGAGCTCTCATGGGCACTGTGGCTACGGATACCAGTGAAGGCTGCCCGATACCTCCTTCATAACTGAGGCACTCTGGGCCTGACTGTATGGCTCGGTTGGTTGGGCATCATTCTGCAAAGCTCAAAGTCTCTGGCTCGATTCCCAGTCAGGACACATGGCTGGGGTTTGGGTTCAGTCCCTGGTTGGGGCACATACAAGAGACAACCAACTGATGTTTTTCTCTCACATGGTATTTCTCTCCCTTTCTATTTCCCTCCCTTCTCCTCTCTTTATAAATACATACACACATACATAAAATCTTATTACAAACTGAGGTGCTCCTTCCCTCAACCGCCAAGAGTATCATCTGCTCACAGCTCAGCGGAGCCTTTTCCCAGGAACTTTGTCCAAAATTATGCCTCCTCCCCAGAGGTGTCCAATGGGGGCCTGTATCCAAAGACTGGAGGGAACACAAGCCCCGCTCCTTGTCTTAACTGAGACAAATCTGTGTCCCCTGTCGTGACTGTACCACAGCTCAGCTCTGCCCTTTGCCTGGCCCTGCCTGCACCACTCCCTCGCCAGAGGGTTCATCCCGGGAGCGCTGCCCACTGAAATGCCTGTCTGCAGATCTCTGTCCCAGAGTCGGTTTCCTGAGCAACCCAACCCAGGACAGAAGCCTTCTTAGACTGCATGATGGACAATAGTGAAGTAGAAAGATACAAGAAGCCTGAGCCCTGCAAACCATGAAACCACAATAGAAGCCTTGAACCATCAACTCACAAGATAGAAACACAAACTTCTCCTTTGCTTAAGCCGATGTAGTCTGAGATCTCTTTGTTGCAGCTGTCTAAAGCATATTCTGATTCACACAGAATTTGGCATCAAGACATGGAGTGTGGATGTGGCAAATTTTAAACATGAAGCACAGCGCTATGGTCAGACCGTGGGCCGGTATTTCAGGATGGAAAGTGGGTGACTCATACTATCCAAAACATTTTAATACTATATCGTATGATATCTTGGAATACCCTTCACATGCCTATTTGAGCTTCTGGTTCTGGAGGAAGTGCTTAGAAGAGGTGCAACTGTTGGTGGGTAGAGTATTCTTCCCACATTTAGCAAGGTCCTGAAAGAGGAAACCTTCAGACCGAAGACAGCAGTTTGTACTCAGATATGGAGGTGAATAGAGCTCAGTTAGCGGAGACTCATCCTGCCTGTGGCCAGTCATCGAAGTTGACTGGACTCTCAGTCACATGCTGAGAAAGCCAGCTGTTTTCTACCTCAGACAGAAGCAGGGATGTGCAGGAGCCCTGAAGATGCAGCTTTTCCACGAGATAAGACTGTGTCCCAAAGCCTTTCCCAGTCAGCTCCAGTTAAGAATGGCCCGCTAAGACCAGAATTATTGGAGAGGCCAGGTCATTCTTTTTGTCTAGGGTAGTGGCAGAATGGGGGCGGGGCCGGGTACAGAAAACAATGGTGGAGCTAGAGCCGGGGTCTTCAGAGGGTAAGGGGTCGGGCCTGGGAGGCTGGGAGACGACAGGGGCAAGGAGGGGGGGACGGTATAGCTGGAGCAGGAGTGTCAATGTGCAGAGGGTGGGGAGAAGGGGCTGGAAGTGACAGTGAGGAGCAGTGACACACTCCACCTTTCAGTCCTGAGATGCAGAGAATGCGAAAGCAAACGGCCTCCACCTGAGGGGTCTGCAGGAGAGTTGGCAGCTAGGGGCCAGGAGGAGGAGTAGCAGGGGGAGGAAATATTCCAAAAAGTGTCTGAAGATAGACGGGAGAGTGCTGAGCACAGCGCAAGCGCTCCAGAGTGCATTGTGCAAGAGGAGAGGGCAAGCTGGCAGGTGAGCCGGGCTGTGGCGGGAGGGGAGGAGGCCGTGGATCTCACGGAGGGCCAGCCTCGGTCATTCCTCACAAGCTAGGGCAGCTGCTTGCTCCTCCCCGTGGTGTGTATACGAAAGAGTCATCACTCAGCATCTCACCCCCATGCCACTGTAACCAGCCTTGTTTGACCTTCATGGGGTGGGGGTTGGGGGCAGAAAGTAAAAATTCTTCCCTTGGGTCCAGTGTTGGTGTCAGGGGAAACAACTGTGAAGGATTGTCCTGCTTAGGGGTGGGGCCAGAGGTCTCTGAGGAGATCCAGGGATGCAGTTTAAGGCTGCTTTTCTGTCCATTCAGGTGGCGCCTCGCAGCTCCCAGGACCCGGGGCTAGGCTGACTTGCTCTATTTAACGTTTTCTGACCCAAGTCTGAGAGCAGAGACACCATCTTGTCTCTGGGTAAGTCCGTCTAAGGGAGCAGGTTTGGAGGGAAAGACGAGAAGGTGAAGCCAGCTGCCTGGGAGGCAAGGAAGGCTCTAAAGGAGGCGTTGGCTTGCCCCTCCTTGTTCTTAAACACAATCAGCACAGAAAGAAAGGAGGGGCCCCGCCCAGTCCCCCCCCCCCCCGCCCCCCCGCCAGTGCCTCTGTGGTCCGAGACAATGTTTCCTTCTGGATTTCCCAACTGGGCTCCACTCAGTTATCATTCTTTAATCAGGAAAGCTTGGAATGAGGGAGGGGGGGTCATCAGACACAAAGTTCTTCCATTATTTTCTTTGTTGTATCTCCTGCACCGACCTCAAACCTGACCCAGCCACTGCCTCTTCCCCATCCCAGAAACCCAAGCCCTACTGGCGAGTGCTTTCTTTTCTCTCCCTCGGGATCTCGGGCCATGGGCGCTCTGAGTAGGGGCCCAGGGGCGGAGCACTCCCAAGGGATGGGACAAGAAACAGTTATCAGCGGTTTCTCCTGAGTCCTCCCTTGCTCGGCTGGCTCTCAGTAACTCTGTGCCCCCAGTTCCCTGCCTCAGGAGGAGATGGGTTGTCTGCTGTGGTTTCTATTTCTCCAGGAGAAATACACTCAGGAATAATGCAGGAGCCCCCAGTTTGATGGGGGAGCCAGGGCCTGCACTCTCCAGGAGCCTGAGCCAGGACAGAAGTTTGTTTCATCAATGTGCAAAACGCTTTGGAACACGTCCAGTGAGATGGAATCAGTATGTAGGGAGAAATGAAAATAACTTTTCAGGTGAGGGAGAGCAGATCTGGCCCTGTGATGTGTCTCATCACACCCTCAGCAAAGGGTGGGCTGGTCACAGGCAGAATTTTTCTGGATATGGATGAAGGTATACTTGACCAGGGAATAAATTCAGTCTTGGATACAAGAGATAGAGTTTTCAGCCCATTGCAGTGGGGACCAAGAAACGGTCCACCTTCGCCGGTGTGGCTCAGACAATTGGAGCACCATCTCGTGCACCGAAGGGTCATAGACTTGACTCCTGGTGAGGGCACATACCTAGGTTGCAGGTGCAATCCCCAGTCGGGGAGCCTATGAGAGGCAGCCAATCAATACTTCTCTTTCAGACTGATGTTTCTCTCTCTCCCCCACCTTCCTCTCTTTCTAAAAATAATAAAAACAAACAAAATATCTAGATTTTTTTAAAGAAGAAAGGCCCTAAGATGTATTATTTAGAATATAGACTTGGCTGATATAACAGAGACCCAAAATAGCAGTGGCTCAGACAAGACAGATGTTCATGTCCTCTTGTGTAACAGTCCAGGCACAGTTTGGGGCCAAAATGGCATCAGGGACTCAGAAGGCTCCTTCTGACTCCCTTACACTGTGTCCTCCCCATGGTCTTGTTCTCACCCAGCAGATCCAAGGTGCTTCACCTTGACCTAGGCTCCCAAACTGCACCAGGCAGAGGAAATAGGGTTAAGAAAGGCTGTTTCTCTCCTTTTAAGGACACCACCTGGAAGTTGCACGCCTTCCTTTTGCTCACATCCCATTGGCTCTCCTTAATGGCTATCCTTAATTGCAAGGGAGTTTGGGAAATGTAGTTTTTATTCCATGCAACCATGTACACTTTTTTCCCCCATTAAACAAAAGGGAAAATTGTTACGGGGGGGCCAACTAGCAGTTTTGCCACATGAGGTTTTTGTATTTGTCTGTCTTATACCTCATTCCCTTTAGCCACAGGGTTAGACAAGTGGCTCAGTCTTGGAAAATCACAGTGAACATCCCCCAGTCACAGCAATTGGTCCAGAACTGGACATGTGACTCAAGTAGAGCCAATCAGTGTTCTTCCTCAGGACTTTTTTTTCTAAGCAAATCTAGTAGCATTGGATGCAGTTTCCTTTCTGGTCATGAAACTATGAGAATGTAACCCTGAACTGACCGTGGGCACTTACCCTGACGGACTCATCAAAGACTGCAAAAGAAAGCGCACCACCAGCCTCTGAGAGACGCAGAGACAACAGCGTCCCAGCAGGGCAAGTGGGGCTCAGTCAGGCCTCCCTGGGGCCTGCTCCATGCTTGCCCTGATGGAGTCAGTCAGAACCCCCTTTCTGCCAAGCTGATTCAAGCTCACGCAGCAGTGAGAGTGATGTTTTTTCCTCTCTGGCGGAATCAGCAGGATGGGGGTGGGGGAAGACACAGTTGAGATTGAAAACCTGGAAGAAAAGAATGTGGGCTGCAGCCAAACTGTATCTTTCTCCCAAACATTTCCCCTGAGGCATCTTAAGTTCCCACACAGCACCTCACAGCAGAGGTTTCTGGGTGTCTTTGCATTTTTCCAGCCAGTCCTGTTTCCTGCAAGGCAGCCCTCCTGTTAGGCCTGCTCTAGCCAGCCCAGCTGTGAGGAGGGGGCCTGAGAATGGGCAACTCTCACAAAAGGCCCATTCTCAGTAGGTCCGGGCTGTTATCAGCCAAACCCAGCCTCTGAATCACCTGCATTGGTGGGCAGCCCTGTAGGCGGGGCTGTTGATTGCCCCTGGGCCTCCCTGTGTCAGGACCTGTGAGTGGGGGCGGAGGCTCAATAAAGGTTCATTGTTTTCTGTTCCCTCCCTCTACCAAGGTTCTGTTCCAGGCTTCCCTGGGGCCCTTCTTCCTAGCCTCTTCACTGCCCCCACCCTGGTGGACACCATCCCATCCTCACCCTCTTTCTATTCCAGCATAAACCCCTCAGGGCAGATGGGGTGGTGGCTGGCAAAGGAAGGGAATGTTTTCAACTTCAGAATCAATGAGTCCCCCACTTCCCTGGGGCCCTCCGAGTGCCCTCCCCTGCCAACGACAGCAACCAAGCTGTTCTGGGCCCGTGATGTCACCTGGTGGCCAGCCTTGGGACAGGCTGGCTCCTGACCTCTTTTCCTCTCCACCTCCTTTTTTTCCTGGGGATGGGGAGGGGGGTCACCTAGGTACCTTAATCTCCCTTTTCTCTGCTTTTGTTCTTTGTTCTTGTTGTTGTTTTACCTCAATCATTTGGGTTCAGCCCATTCTTCCTCAGGACATCTTTAAAACTCAAGTCACACGACCTTGAATAGACTGCCTTCACCTCCTCTCAAACAACTCTGCCTCCGTTACCTCCAGAGGTCCTTTCCCCGCAGTTTATCCCATCTAGCCAACAACCCCGGCCGGCCGAGAGTCGGGATGCAGCCAGGCCCGCGCCGTGTCAAGAAAAAGGCAGACTGAACCTCAGAAAGGTTCATTAGAATGAGGAAGAACAAAGGCTTTCAGCCTCTAAAGCCCTTGAAAAGCACCTCAAAGTTTCCTTCAGAACTTCCAATCCGTCTCCTTATACTCCTGTTAAGAAACCTGCTTTCCCTCAAGCACCAGCTTTTAAGAGAAAACAAACAGCCTTTTCTAGACCAGCAATATTGTTTTTCCATTTCTACCTACAGGTCTTGCAACAGTAGGGTTTTCTTTCCCCCACATGTAGGTGTGTGGCAGCCCAGCGTGGTGATAGGGTAAATGGGCATTTATGGCTCAGCCTGGAAAACTGAGCCCCATTCATAACGCCAAGTCCTCGGTTTTCTATTGGCTCGTTGTCTGGAAGGCCAATTCACTTCACAGAAACGAAGTTTTGAAATATAACTCATTGATAACCTGGGACTGCCTGATGGTAGGTATTGAAGATAATAAGAGGCTTTCCAGGGAAAGATGGTGGCCGTTTGCTGTTTCGTTAAACAGGCTGATCTATGAGAACTCTCTGACTTCCCAAGAAACGGAAACCTGGAGCCTGTTAGAAGCCTTGAGTCTTCCAGAACAGTCTGGGCCAGTGGGCTAAGGTTGGGGCATGGGTTTGGAGTAAAGAACCAAGTGATGCTTTAGATACAAACGCTGAATAGAAAGGACATGAGAAGGGCTGAACTGAGTGGCGGGAGCTAGAAGAGGTCTTAGGGCAAAGGACCGGAGACACAGTTTATGAAGCCCCCTCTACATGCCAGGAAGGGCCCATTGGGGACATGTGGGCACCCCCAACAGGCTAATAATTTCATGCGGCATCAAGCTGACATCCGTTCACTCCATTTTAATGCAGTGGCCACTGATCTCTGCTCAGGGGGACAGGGCTGGGGATCCCTGTTGGCCATACTTGATCCCCTCTGAGCAGTTCAGCTCTGACCCCAAACTCTCATCCCTGAAAGTTAGACAAATAAAAACTCATAGGGACCCTGCCCCATCCTCCTTAGTAAACAGCTAAGAGACCAACTATATTATTCGAATCTGTTCTTTGGTGGGCCCCTTGCCACTCCAGTGCAAGCAGCTCACTAAAGTAGAACATTCAGCTGTCTCTTGGAAGAGGCCCAGACATGGTTTTCTTCATCTCCTGACATTTCCAGTGACGCTTGAGGGCCTGGTCAGGACGGTATGTTAGGCAGCTGCCTTGTAGCTCACCCCTTACATCAGCTCTGAGGCTGGACAATGAGCATGTAATCACCCTGCCATATGAGTGTCATGATCTCTGTCCCACCTGGTGAACCTGAGGCTGAGGGCAGGTTGGTTCACTGCCCAGGAGGCCCATGGCTGGTGGGTAAATACCATTTTGAGCTGAGATCTGAATTCAGATTCATCCATTTTATTCTAAAGGCTAGATCTTCTCCACTTCTTCCCCCTCCACTGGGAAGACATGGAAAGAAAACCCATTGAGAGCAGGAGAGTGGGACTTATGAGGAGATTCAGTGGAGGTTTGGACAGGGAGATACCACGAGCCAGGCCAGAGAAACAGTGGGTGGCAAGGAGGCTGGGTGCCCAGGTGCAAGACAGCCCAGCTGTGGTGGAGAAGTAGGGCGAGCCAGCGTGAGCTCCTGGAGGGAAGGAGGGTGAAGAAGTCCCGTCCTGGACAGGGAGGGGATGGCATGTGGTGCAGCCAGGTCAGGGCCCCTTCCTCTGCACGCCAGCCACTAGCAGTGCTCACTGCTAGGACAGGGTGGGCCTGGTGTCTGGCAAACAAGAGATGGAGCCCAACGGGGATCTTTGCAGGAGAAATGTCTCCTTCAGCCCTAGACTGAAGGCTGCAAAAAGTCATTTGGCCCCAGTGGAGACAGGATGCCTGGGAGCTGGCCCTAGTATGTCCTGCTTTTCTCCTCATCTTCCTCCCCTCCAAACCCGGAATCCAGCCAGCTCAGCTCCAGAGCCAAGGAGGGACTGGCAGCCTGTTCCTGGCCTCCCCAGCAGAGGGCTCCAGAGGAGAGCTCAGGAGGGTTGTGCTGGGGTTGGAAATCTCAGCCTCCCTCCCTGAAGGGAGATGCAAGGAGCACTGGGCATCAGCTCTGCTCCCAGGTGTCCGGTGTCCATATGCATGGGTGTCTGTATTTGTGCTCAAATGCACCAGTGTGCCTGTATTTGTGTGCCCCTTGGGGGAGTGCTGGTGTGTAAGTAGGTGTCTGCATGTGTGGAGTATGGGTGTCTGCGGTGCACATGCATGACTGTTTGTTTATATGTTGGGTGGAATTTGTGCATATGTGTTTGCCCGTTTCCTCTGAGCTCACGATGGCACTGCTAGTAGTTGTGTGTGTATTTAGGACACACGTGGGTACCTGGATGATCTGTGCAGAGGTGTCTGTGCTTGGCTTGTAAGGAGAGAGGAGAAAGAAAAAAGTGACAGGGGCGTGCTGCGGAATCTCAACATTTCTCAGGGACAGAAATGTGGGCCCCTGTGCTGTCCTGCGTCCGTACACACTGACCCAGCTGGGCCGCCTCCTGCCCTTACTCAGCACAGCCCCGGAGTCTGTTTGTTAAAACCCCGTTTACCACAGATGTTGCTGGCGCTTTGTTCCCAGGAAGTAAGGCCTTCCAGAGTCCTGTGAGTGTCCCTCTCTCTGTGTTCTGGTTCCCTTGCTGGCAGCTGGAGAATGTTGTTCTCCTTGTCGAGAGGAGGGAGCGGAGTCCCAGAGTGTGGGGGGAAATTACAGGACTGAGGTGGAGAAACACAGGCCCGTGGCTGGTTCCTCTGTGAGTGAAGGAATGTAGTGGCCATGGGAGCGAGGTCCTGGCCCAGAAGTCTGGGAACATGGAGAGGGCCCAGCTCTGCCGCCAGCTGGAGGCCCTGGTGGGTAGCAAGCAGCCCCTCCTGCCCTGCTCGCAGTGGTCTGGGCTGGTGCTAAGCCAGGGTGGGCAGGGGAGGCCAGATGGGAAACTCCCCTCACCCTGTGTGCATAGAAGAGATGCTTGCAGCAGGGAGCAGGGCAGAGTCTGGAGCCTACTGCATGATGGGAGGGTGTATCAGCTTCCTGTTGTTGCTGTAACAAATCACCCCAAATGTGTAGTTTAAAACAACACATATTCATTAGTTGACAGTCCTGGAGATCAGAAGTCCGAAAACAGCCTCACTGGGCTAAAGTCAAGGCACTGGCCAGACTGTGCTCCTCCTGGCGGCTCCAGGGGAGAATCTGTTTCTTCCCTTTTCGAGATTCTAGGGGCCTCTTACATCCCTTGACTTGTGGCCCCCGCCTCCATCTTGCCATCACATTGACTTTTCTATCGCCTTTGACCTTCTTGCCTCCCTCTTGTGAAGACCCTTGCAATTACTTTGGGCCCTCCCAGATAATATAGGACAATTTGACCATCTCAAGATCCTTAACATAATCATATCAGCAAAATCCTTTGGCCCGTGAGGTATTCATGGGCTTGGGGGATTAGGATGTGAACATCTTTGGGGAACCAATCAGAGACAACCTGGCAAAAGGAGGTGACATCTTTAATCCTCCTGCAGTTTTGCTGAGGCATCCAATGGGACACTTCTGCCTGGTAAGGACCTGCCTGGTCCTGTCAGTCCGATCTGGGGGGACTGAGAACCAGGAACCAGGGACATGCTCTCTGGGGTAAAGGGCCTTTCTTCCTGCCCACCTTCCCAGCAGACCCTGGCCGGGCACCAGCTATGACCTTGGTTCAGACTGACCCCTTGGTGATCTACGTCTCCCTCCCTACCCCCAGTCTGCTCCAGATTTAGCCTCTGGCCTTGGTTTCTGGCCTCATTCATGCTTCCAGAGCGCTCCTCACCAACTTGATTATTTTCCTGTCTTAACCCCCAATCCCCACCCCAGAGGCAGCCTGCTGCCTCCAGCCTGGCAGCTTGGGCCGACTCCCCTCAGCCCTCTCCACACGTGTGAAAACCACACGCGTGGGCTCCCTCCAGCTCCCCACAGAAAGCCCAGCCACAAGATCCAGAGTCAAGGAGGGGGTCATGTGCAACCATGCAGGCCAGTGCTGGGGAGTCTAATGGGACAACTGGCCTTCCAGATGCCTGACAAGGCCAAACTTTCCAGCACAGTGAGCCCCACATCTGGAATTAAGTTGGAAATTCCAATTGCTCTCCTCTGCTAAGAAATGTGTCAAGTCTTCCCAGAGATTCCGTGGAAGCGGGAAGCAATGTGGGGGTGGGGACACTCACTCTCCAGGATCTGAGAGCTTTGGGGAAATCCAGATGTCACAATGTGTCCACAATTCTCTGGCTGATGGTTCCTTCAACACCCCCTCAGCTCTGTCCCCGTCCCATGAAAATTAAAGATGCCTGGAGCTGGTGGGGCAGTTCATTTCTCGCTAGGACCCACCCCACGAGTCCGTCCGTGTGTATATGAAACTATGATTCTTTTTTTATACAGATTGAGTTATTTTTTCCTGGAGAGAAAAATGTTGACATGCCTTTGGAGGACTGCCTGCCCAGAAAATCCCCCGATGCACAAAGAAGACATACTGTTCCCTCTCTCTAACATTCATGCACGCTCGCACATGTCTCAAGTCTGAGATGTCACCAACCACGTCGTTTGGGCCCTTCAGGGACTCACCTGCACTGCTAGCTCAGTTCCATCCAGTGTCTGATGGGGATTCCATGGAACTGGACCTGTGGGCTCAGAGCACAGGCTCAGTCATTTATAGTTCTGTGTCTCCGGGCAAGTGTATGAGTTTCCTGTTGCTGCTATAACAAATCACCCCAAACGGAATGGCTTAAAACAACACAGATTTATTCTCTTATAATTCTGGAGGTCTTAAGTCCAAAATCAGTCTCACTGGGCCAAAGTCAAGGTCTTGGCAGGGCTGGTTCCTCCCGGAGAGAAGCCATCTCCTTGCCTGTTTCAGCATCTAGTGGCCATTTGTGTCCCTGTCCTCCATTTTCAAAGAGCATCACTCCAACCTCTGCCTCTGTCATCACACTGCTTTCCCCTCTGATTCTGACCCTCCTGCATCCTTTTTCCAAGGATACTTACATTGGGCCACTAGGATAATCCCCATCTCAAGAGCCTTAATTTAATCACATCTGCCAAGTTCCTGTTGCCATAAAAGAACAATCACAGGTTCTGGGGATTTACCTGAATATATATGAGGGCCATTATTCAGCCTTCCACAACAAGTGTCCCTCTCTGGGCCTCACCTGTAGCTTCAGAGGGCCAGTTTCCGATGGCCTCTTTCAGCTCTGTTGGAAAAGATGCTGAGTCTCTGCCTTATTGGACCTCTGGTGAAATGGGCCTGGCTCCCACCAGCCCTCTACTCATCTCTGGGTCTCTGGGACTCATATTGCCTCCTTTCCTTTGTGAGAAGGGAGACCTTGTTTTCCATGCTACATCCAGCACCAGGAGCCTGATGCCCCAGTCTGGGGCCCTCACCCCTCAGTCTATCCTACAGGAATATCCCCGACCTGTGAAAAATTCACTCCAGCTACAACCTAGTTTAGGATCTGAATTATACTTTTCTCCAAGGCAGGGTCTTCCCTGCCTTGGCCGTGGCCCATCCAGGGTCAAGAATCCTGGACCTTACTCTGAATGTTGGGTAGGCATCCAAGGTGTCTGAATGGGAGAGACGCGGATGTGGGAACCCGTTTCCCACAGTACTCCTCACTGGCTCGACCTCTCAGAGCTCAGCTGCCCCAGTCACACACAGTGTGACCTTAAACATCCTTCACCAGGGACAGTCAGAGAGGAGCAATTCTCACCCAGCCTGGGTAGTCCCATGGGACCCAGTGGGACTGGCTGGCATTCCCAGAGGCCCCCTGAGTGAAGTGCCAGACCTTCCTTTCCGCCTTCTTCCTTTGCTTCCTTTCCCTCCTCTTCCTTCCTCCCCCTTCTTCCTGTATGACCGAGTGCCCAGTCCTATGTCAGGCACAGGATACAGAGCTGGACCCCTGGCCCATGAGAAGCCGGTGCGGACACAGCCATGCTAATATCTCCTCCCCAGCAGTGTGCTGGCCACGGGTCCCTGGAGTCCCCCAAAGCTTTGTGGAAGCCAGCTGGGGCAGCCCCAGGTGTCAGGAGGGCTTTCTGAGGCAGGTAATGCTGCATTTTACACCTAAAAATACACCGAAACACTAAGTCTGGCTGCATATTTCACATGAGGAGAGGTGGCCATGCTTTGGCTCATGTTCTTCCCACTGCTTGATGTTTTTCCACTCTCCTCTCCTGGATAGCTCTGACTCAGGGGCCACCTCTTCCAGAAAGTCTTCTCTGAAGCCTGGACAGGCTAAATTTCCTCCTGGATGCTCCCAGCACTCCACAGAGAGGCTCATCATGTGCAAATGAGGAACTGATGTGAAGAGACAGCCGCTGCCTTGGAGAGGGTTGGAGGGGAAAAGAGACTGTGTCCGGTGACAGAGTGATGGACTCTGCTTTCTAAGAGCTGGTGGGCCCCTGCAGATCACCCAATCCATCCCCCTCTCTGCACAGAAAGGGCACCGAGACCCCTGTCACAGCTCTGGGTCGTGGTGCTGGGACCAGAAGTTTTGCCTCCTGATTTCAGCCCAGTGCCCTTTCCTTGAAGCATCCTCTATTGATGGTGACCATGTCCTGACCACCCCTATGTCCACCTACAAGTGCTTGATCACCTGAGGTGAGGGAGTGAGTTTGGGGGAACGGGACCCACCAGAGAGAAGTGTTCAGAAAGCCCCCCCTTTTTTTTATGTCACAATTTGGGTCACATACACCAGAGATGGTGGCCTGGTTTCACACTCTGCCTTCCATGGCAGAGATGTAAAGAGAAAGATCTGGACCTGGGCTCTAACTCTTCCTCTTTCTAGCTGTGTGACCCCTTTCCTCATTGACAAAATGGGGACAATAATTGGACAGACCTCATAGGCTTGCTTTGATGACTAAATAAGATAATGCATGAGAAGTCTGCGATTCTCTGGCTGGCACACAGCTATGCTTCTGGATGGTGACTCCAGGTATTATTCTCTGTCATCCAAGCCCCCAGCATACCCTCTTCACGATCTCATTCTATGGGCTCAAACTTCTGGAATCAGGAAAATAGTCTGATTGATTAGATTCACACTGATTCCAACCCCTCACCCTACCAAAGAGATCCTGATTCATTAGGTCTGGCGATAGGTTCCTCGAATCATTTGTTTTAAATAACCTTTTTAAAAAGATTAATTAATTTATATTTAGAGAGAGGAAGAGAGGGAAGAAGAGAGGGAGAAAAATATCAATGTGTGGGTGCCTCTCAGGCGCCCCCTACTGGGGACCTGGCCCAAAAGCCAGACATGTGCCGTGACTGGGAATCAAACTGGTGACCTTTTGCTTCACAGGCTGGCACTCAATCCACTGAGTCACACCAGGTAGGGCTTATTATTTTTATTAATCTGTATTTTTTAAATAAACATCCTGGGTGATCCTGATATTTAGCCAGGTTGGGGAGCCACTGGAACAAGTGATGATGGGACTTTAATAAAGGCCAACTTGTGCCCTCAAAATAGGGGTTTAGCTTAGAGGTACCTTCCCACGGAACCGCAGCAAGTAGGACCCTCTCGCTTGCCATGGGGAGGAGGGTGGCATTCCTCCAGACCAGCTCCATTGGAAGAGGGCAGTGGTGGGGGAGGGGGGGAGTGCCTGCACCAGCTGTGTTCCTGCCCACAGCTGTCTCAGTGCCGTGGCCCACTGGAAATCACTGTGAAATTCATTTTCCACATCTCCCCAAGCTGGACCAGGTGGCTACTGGCTGGAGTGGCTGATCCCACCAGACAAGAGGCTCTGGAAGCCAAGGAAGTATACCCACCCACCTCCACGCAGCACAGGGCTCCCCCAGATACCTGCCTTCCTGAGCCAACAAGTGCCTTTTGTCCCAAATCAATCCACGTCTTCTCATGCGGAGACTTTCTTTACTCTGCATCAGGAAGCACCCAGCTCTTGCTTTTCTGCATGTTCACCGTGACTGTTGGCTTTGGAAGGTGGCTGTGGCTGGATTCCACCTCGGCCCAGGGACACCCTGAGCCCCAGGACAAAGCTAGCTGCTCTGGGAAAATGTGAGTGGAGGAGACAAGGAGGGCTGTAGATGAGGACAAGCGTGGCCTCTGCAGATTTCACTCATCCCTGGAAATGACAGCGGGTAGGGGCTTTCCTACATCGGGAAACTCGGCCTTTTCATTAGCTGCGGGGAGGTGCAGAGGCAGGGCTTTGGCCGAGGAACAAAGGAAAGGCCCAGAATGAGAGCACTGTCCTCCGCCAAGGACACAGGACTGTTGACGTGGGGGAGACGGGCGCAGCCTCTGGATCCAGTCAACGGTGAGGAGGAAATGGTTTTCCCTGAAAAACAAAGTTGAAAAACAGTTTACTGAAGGGAAGAGAAAGAGGAAAAGGGGGGAAAAAACCCCCACCTGAAACTGTCTAATTATCAAAATCACCTGGGTAGTTGGTGGCAGATACAGATTTCAAAACTCATTCCAAGTCAGTAAAAAATTATTTTTAATAGCTCTGGGTTTCTTTTCTCTGCGGTTTAAAACTGTAGATCCCATGTCAATTATATCTCAATAAAGCTGGGGGGAAATTAAGTTATTGGTAAACAACAGTAGAAGAATTAACATTAGTTGTACGACCAGACAAATCTTCAGAAGGGACTGAGTGACAGTGGAGGTGAGGAATGGGAATTCAATCTTTACCTTTCTAAGCTGGACATCAAGATCTGAACTTGAAAAATTAATAACATAATAACCTTTGTGTTGTAACTAAAGCGGAAACTGCCATTGTAAATAAAATGAGAGCCAGTCTTTTAAAAATGTAGATTTTAACTCACATAGCTTTGCAGACCCCTGGGTGGGCGGGTGTCAGGGGTGAGGGGAAGCAACACCTTATGGAGTCAGCAACAGGATTATCTTTCTAATTTGCCACCCGCACTGGGGGTGGGTGGGGCGGGAAGGAGGGAGGGAGACACACAGGATCAAATAAATAAATAAATAAATAAATAAATAAATAAAACTCTAGAAGCTACTTCTCTGCAGCCAGACTGGGTCTTCCTCTCTATGAATCTGTCCCAATCTCTCTCTGCTTTCTCACTCAAGTTTCCTGAGTGAACTGTCTCCACTCACCTTTTCCCTTTCCTCCTTTTCTCCCTTCCGCCATCAGTTTCTTGCCACCTGAAGAGGGGAAAGCTGAAAAATGACCCGCCTCCACACACAAGATGTGCATGTACTAATCTTTTTCAGGATTTTGCATGTGTGATTAAATAAAACATCTTTCGTTGGGAAGATTAGCTTGGGCTATTGGGGGCACTAATGTAATCACAGGGGTCTTTGAACAGGGGGCGGGAGATTAAAGCAGAGAAGGCAATGTGATGACAGAAGCAGAGATTGGAGCGATGCCCTTTGCAGGTGGAGGAAGGAGCCACAAGCCAAGGAGTACGTGCGGCCACTAGAAGCTGGAAAAGGAAGGGGAGCCTCCAGGAGGAGCTGGCCCTGCCAACACCTTGACTTTAGCCCAGGAGACCGATTTTGGACTTCGGAACTCCAGAGCCGTGGGAGAAGAAAGCCATGCTGTTGAAGGCACTGGCTGTGTGGTGACTCGTTGCAACAGGATAGACACACATCTCTGACCTCGGCCCTGTCCACCCCCTCCCCTCAGCAAGGTCTCCAGGGACTGGACTCTTCCCAACTATGGGCACCTCTCCATGCTTCTCTCTTTCGACCTCTTGGCAAGGTCTGATGTTTTCCTCATTGCTCTTTCTTAAATCTCATGACAGCCCACTGCCCCAGTGATCCTCCTGCCTCTCAGGTCCTCCTCCTCCTCAGCTCCTCCTGGCACTCTCCTGCCCCACCTCCAGTGTAACCTGTGCCCCAGGGTTCTCTTCTGAACCCACCTCTTTTCTCACTCTCTTCATTCTAGGAGTAGTCACATACCTACGATAACCCCAGATCTAGGCCATGAGTTCCACATCCCAGCATCCTGCTGCCGGATCGTCCCCCGCCCCCTCCTCCTCAAACCAGTATTTCCATCTGAAGCACATTTCCCACCTTCCCTGCCCATTGAAATCTAGTTCATTTGTTTATTCATCAAGGTCCAGCTCCAGGGTCCCTTCCTCCAGGAAGTCTTCCCTGTCTGTTAGGCTCTGTGCTTGTTTTAAATTTTTTAAATTTTATAAACTTATTTTTAGAACAGTTTTAGATTCACAGCAAAATCGAGTGGGAAGTGCAGAGAGACTTTCCCGCAGCATTTAGTGTCCATAAGCCAGAGTGTGAGCAGCTCTCACGATATTATCTTATTTATTCTACTAACTATACTGCTAGGTAGGAATGTTCTTTTTTTTTGTCCAGCTTTATTGAGGTATAATTGACAACTAAAAGTTGCATATATTTAAGGTGTACAACATGCTGACTTGATATATGTACACACTGTGAAATGGTCAGCACAATCAAGCTAAGTAACACATTCTTCACATAGTTCTTTTTTGGTGAAAACAATGAAGATCTACTCTCTTAGCAATTTCAAGTGAGTAATATATTACTAACTCTAGTCACTGTGCCATACATTACATCTCCAGAACTCACTCGAACGTGTCTGGAACTTTGTGCTCTTTAACCAACATTTCCCCATGTTCCCCACCCTCACCCCAGCCCCTGGGAAACCGGCCCCTCCCCCATGCTCTGCTCCTATGAGTTGAATTTTTTAGATTCCACATTAAGTGAGATCATACAATATTTGTCTTTCTATGTCTGGCTTATTTTACTTAGCACAATGTCCTCCAAGTGCATCCCTGTTGTCACAAACAACAGGATTTCCTTGCCATGTGCTTGTTAGCTATGTCCACCTGTTGGCCCCGCAGGACTGGAGCCCCTGAGAAGCAGCGTCAGGTCTGGTTAACCTGGACACGCAGCACCGCGCACCCTGGCACGAGAGGGGCTGCCCCTCCCACCAGACCTCCTTCCTGAGCTAAACCTCGGAAGTTCTGGCTCATAAAATAATAACAACAATAGCAACAAGTTTATTATTTTTGTCCTTTGTGTATAAATAAGTGTGTGACTATTCTAGAAAAAGTTTATAATTTAGATAAGTAAGACCAAAATAAAAGCAATGAAAAAAAGAAGGAATCAAAAATTATCCTTTGTCTTACAACCAAGCAATGTTTTTGGTGTATGTCCTTCCAGCATTTTTAATGAACTGACATCTTTTCAAAATCCGATTATTTTATAAATTTGTCAGCTTTTCCTTTTTCTGCTTACTGTAAGTTCCTCTGTATGTCATTAACTGTTCTTCCACAGCATCGTCTTTAAAAGGCTGCATTGCTTTGCTCTTCTGTATCTTCTGGTTCATAATTTATTTAACCAATCCCCTCTTGTTGGACATTTAGGTTGCTTCCCGTTTTTCAGGCTTGTAAATAAAACAGTGAAGAACAACTCTGTAGCTGAATGTTTACACACCTTCATAAGTATTCTCCTAGAAGAAGGCTCAGAAATAAACTCTCCGAATTAAGAGATGCTAGGCTTTGCCCTGACCGGGTAGCTCAGTTGGTTAGAGCATCGCCCTGATACGCCAAGGTCTCGGGTTTAATCCTTGGTCAGGGCACATACAAGAAACATCCAATGAATGCATAAGTAAGTGGAACAGCACATCAATGTCTCTCTTAAAAAAGTTTAAAAAATAAACTGTTTTAAAGGACGCTAGGTTCTGTTTCCATCCGTGAGCAAGCTCTGGGAAAGACAGGATGTTTCTGGAGGTCTTGGCACGGAGCCCTGCACGCCAAGCTCGAGGGCCTACCCAGCCCCCAAGTCTGAGTGTTCCACACGCTCCAAACCTCTGCTCTCCTCGCCCTGCTCCAGGCTGCAGCTCACCAGGGAGAATGAATTATACCTCCCGGCTGGACATGAGGCCATTTGTCTTCTGCTCTGGAATCCTGATGAGATAAAATCTAGGCAGAGTGCAGTTATTTATTCAATGTATTTCTGGGCGGGTGAGCCCTAGCCCTCGGGGATCACCTTCTCCAGATTGGGGTTAAGAGTTTACAGGGAGGAGGAGCAGGTCACAGGGTGCAGAGCACCCACCACCAGGGCTCACCCCAAGCAGGCCAGAGGGGGCCCGATTTCCCCCTCAGCCCCACACCAGCTCCAGTTCCAGCCTCCCAACCTCAGGTGCAGGGAACTTTAAGGGTCGTTCCCGTCATACAGCTGAGGCTGGCAGAGGGGATCCTGCTCCGTAGAGAAGGAACCAGGCACCAAGTGATGTGCCCAGATCTCTCCTCCGGTGAGACGGAGGATCTCCCTGACCCCGATTCCGGGGTTTGGCCTCTCTGGTTCTGGCCCCTGGACTCCTGCTCCGGCCTCCACGGCGATCCCCTCCCTGGGGCCTTAGCCTGGTTTCAGGCTCAAACTCTGCAAACGCCCCCTTGAGACTTCTCAAAGATCCAGGGCCCTCTGGGGTGCAGACAACCAGGCCACACCACCTGCCGCCTGTCCTCTCTGTCACATCTTTGACTCTTCACGTGTGTTGTCTCTCCAGATTGTGTGAGCAGCGTGTGTCCTCTGGGCCGGGGGCTTCCGACGCCGGTCAGATCACTGGGGACCTTCGTGCACGTGCAGGTTCCGGGGCCTCTCCCCCAGAGACGTGGGCTGTGCAGGTCTGAGGGACACCCAGGGACCTGGAGTTCCACAAAAGGTGGTCCTTCTGTGCTTCCTTCAGAGTTGGCATGCCTTCTTCCTCTTCTTCTTTTTTATTCAATTTATTTAAACTAAACAAAAATGCAGTTTACCCATTTCTCCCCCACCCCACCCGCTGACACCCAGCAATCTCTTCCTTACATCAGGAGCTTGTTGAGAGGGTTGGGGTGGGGGTTAGATTCCAAAGCTGGACCCCAGCTTGTTCCAGAATCAGGGCAGTGCTCTCTCCTCTGTTCTTGCTGGTGGGGGGAGGGGCGTGCAGGGCGTTTGGTCTCCGGCTCAGACAGGCCCAAGGCTTGTGAAGTGATGAGAAACAGACGGGGCCACAAGGCTGCTTCCTCGGGTAACCTAAGTTCAGGACATTGGGCAGCCAAACTGGTCTGCCCTGGCAGGGGGACTTGGCCAGGGGCAACCCGAGCAGCCACACAAAGCCATCCTCACAGCCTCTCTGGCTGTGGGTCTCCTGGCGCTTGCTTGCCAGGGATGCACAGGCACGCCTCTGGCCGGCCTGGCCTTGGCCTGCAGGAGCTTG